TGTGAGCTGTGCAAGGCTCTTCTTCCTTACTGTATTTTTGTCTCTGATTGCCTCTTCTCTTTACCCTGACTTAACACTCTGACTTTGATCTTGTGTGGTTTCTGAGAGGAGTGGTTATATGTTAGGACTTACCTTTCAGAATCAGTGGCTTCAAAGGGGTGCAGTATTACTTGTGCATGGGTCTCACATGTGCTCTTTTCAAACTAGCATATCTAGAAACTGTATAGGCCTTAGCCCTACTACCTCATGTAATTAATGAATGTTTACATTGACTACTGAGCCAGGCTTTATGGCTGTGTTGTGCAGGTTGTCCTGATTATCAAGTCTTTTCTCTTTCCTGAAGTGTCCTAACTGCACATTTCTGCCATGAGCAAACCAGGTAGTGATCACATACTGCTCTTTTTTTCTTGTATTTTTTACAATACTTGCATGAGATGAAATATGTCTATGCCCTAAAGCCATTGCAGCTATTCTGTGTAGCAGACCATAGCACTTGTGGCAAAATATGCCACTTCTTGATTGTAAGGATTTGTACTTCAGCACTCATTGGGTCTCTCAGGAATTTTCCCATAAGAAAGAACATGTAAATGTAAATAACAAATAAGATTTTTCACTATCTTGACACATTTTACTGGATTTAGACTCACTTTCCATAGTGTCTGTTTTATGCTTACTTTCCTCCATCTGAGAACACTCACAGCAGCAGTATAAAAATAACTTCCAAATTGAATTTTTCGGGATCCTCCTCTTTTGCTCTCTTATTGCTTCCCGCATCTCTTCTGATTTTCTGTTTCTTTCTAGTCTTCTCTATAAAAATCAAGATCTCCTTATGCTTTGCTTACCAGCTGTCAGGCGTGATGCAGTCAGTATATGCTGATGTGCTGCTGTGTTAGCTTGCTTTGCCACTGTTGGCAGCACTCTGCTGTCATGCTCAATTGAGACAGAAAGGAGCATTTCTCACTGGAAAATTAATTCATGAAAGATGACTTTTGTTTTTTGTAGTAGAATTGTTTTGAAAGACATCAAGCATACAAAGAAATATGTATTACAACAAATTAGCTCATAATGTTATAGAGGTTTAAGTGTCAAATATCAGTGAAGTAAAAAGTGAGGCCAAATAATTTTGTGAATTTACAGCCTCAAATTGCCTCGTGATTTGAGCACAAATTCCATCCACTGAGGTGACTTTCTGTATTTTTTTTCCTGACATAACTGCTTTTTAACAAAAATGAATGCAATTCCAGGCATCTGGAAATTCTGTGAGCAAAATCAGCAACTTCCTTGTGTCTGTCTGAAAGAGAAAAGCAAGATCAGAAACATGGCAATGGATATGATCTTTTTCCTGACCTGTTCTTCTTCATCCACCCTAAAAAACACAGGAGGAAATAGAACGTCCTCTGTGTCAATTTTTTTCTCCTTTCTAGTTACGGCCTTTCTGTCCTTTTAGAAGAGTCTTTTACAGGTAATTCATCCAGCCAGTGAGGCTCAGCTACAGTGGGGCTCATGTAGGATTCAGTTGCAGTTTTGCAGTAGGTTTTCCCATCATTCTTTATACTGACTGTCCTGATTGTTGCTTTTTTAAATTTGATTGCAAAGCTGACCACGCTAACTAATTCTCTTGATGGAGTATGACAGTGTTCTGTGCTCACGAATTAGACAGACGTTTGTACTGTATTGCAGTTCTGTGGTGTTTATCTGTCAGCATAGTTTTTCTCACTAGAAGTAGTGCTGTCCCAATGTTTGCACGTGGCTCAGGCTATACTGGTTGCCAAAAGTAACCAGTTTTGGATGCTGCTGCTTTGGGGAAGGGAGGTACGTGGTGTTGCTGGATCTTATTGGCAACGAGTTGTGTCTGTTCTATATTAAAAAGACTATTTAATACTTAGTAAATGTGTCTACTTCCAGAGGGTTTTAGGCTCTGGTAGCTGTATTTGTCATAGGCTCAGATAGCTGTATTTGTCTTATACATGCTTATAAATATAGGCAAAAACAAAATTTATGTTCAGTGAGAGCTTAATGTTTTTGGTTGGTTCAATTATCTGCATATCCTCTTCACAGCTGATTTTTCTTAGAGTGAGCTGAGCATTTGGTGGTAGGAGGTGGTGGTCTGTTCATTCTCTTGACAAAATGCCCTGCTGTAACTTCAGATGATAGCACTGCAACATCATAATAATGAATACCATGCTACTGTTGTCAAATTTACAAATGCCACTTACTGTGAGTTATTCTTGCACCTTAGCCCGTAACCTCAAATGCCCAAAGTTTATTGATACAGTGCTTTATCATACCTGCTAACTCAAGTTAATGACTTGCTCCAAGTAAAGGACATTCTTTGGCAATATTTCATACAGCTTTTTTGTCACTTTTTTGAGCTTCCATGCTTTAATATATGCAGTTTAATATTAAAGATTGAGATACATGCTCATCCAGTTGAGGAGGCAGGAGAGAAGAATCAAAGCTCTTTTGTTGTCTTGACAGCTAGTAAATCACTGAGTACAGAAGAACTTTGGAGAGAACAGTTCTGAATTCTTCTAAATTACTTTTGTATGTGTGTGATTAATGTACATATGTATACATGTGTGCACATATAATAATTTGTCTATCTAAATCTTGTAATCAGTATAAAATATACAGTGTAGTGTAGTTCAATTGGCTTGATTTTTTTTTTTCCTGAAAATAGATTAGAAAAAAACTAAAAAATCTTTCTTGAACTTGAAATTCTCCTGTCAGCCTAATTTCAATGTAAATCTAACTTTACTTTAAAATATGCATATAAACATATATGTTTATACTATTCTTTCTTCTCTCCCTGCTTTTTCAGTAAAGATTCCTAAAGCTCAAAATTATCTTGATATTTTTTTTCTCTTTTTAATCCATTGACATTTAAAGAAAGGTCTTTTTCTGCAGTTGATGAGGAGGTTGTTTGACTATGCAAAGGGTGCTGACTCTGTCTAGACAGAAAACATTGCCAAATGTTCAAAGTCCTTCATAGAACAGACAAGGTTTTTTTATTTCCTGCTAACATTCAGTTTAGAGTAATTTCAGCTGTTGCTCGCAGCTTCAGATCTTCAGTTTTGGGATTTGAGATGCAGTTTTTTCCCCGACTTTTGTATTGTCCTTTTAAAGACTGCCGGAATAAGCATTCAAGATATAAATGAGTATTCTGTGTGCAATGTTTTAATATGCACAACTGTGGCTAAGAAGTGCATTGATGTGACTGGTATCCATAAATCAGGGTAATTTATCAATTGACAGGCTCAAATTCACATCAGATATGGATAAGTAAATAGACAGTGATATGTATCATGTTGGACTAAAAAAGGAATTTATTTCTTACCATGTATCTTCTGGATTACATAGGCATTTCTTACGTATATTTTTTAATTGGGAGGAAAGGAAAAAGAAAAAAGTTCATGCTTTTTAGAAAGAATCAATGCCACCACCAGTCAGCTGAGCCAGCAGAGAACTTGAAACTTTTAAAACAATTGAAAAAAGATGTGGCTACTTTGTGAGGAAAACAGCTGGATGCAAGTTCTCCTGCAGGAAGAAAGAATTGGAATATTGTTTCAGAATTGATGATAGTTTTTACTGGTATTTCAACAGAAAATGGTGAAATAAATAATTAGCTTGTTCAGTGTTGACCTCCTTGGAGCACCAATCATTACTACTGAAGTTTGGAAAGTGGCAGTTTGTGAGTACAAATTCATCATTGCCATTAACAGTCCCTTGTAAAAACCTTGTAAGTAAATCAGCTGTTTCAGTAGACCAAATTCAGTAGTTAACAGCTTGCTTATTTAATTTTCTTTCATTCAGCCTCTTATGTGAAACTTAAAAGCGTTCCAAACCACAACAAAAATTCAGAAGTTGAAAAGAGAAGAGATGTACATGTATGGTTTTCTCTTTTATCATTGCAGAGGCAGTCTGTAGTTTTTGTCTCATGCTTGGCAGCCAGTCTGCAGCTAGAATAACCCTGCAAGCCCTCGTATCAGTTTTGAATTAAATGAGTATAAGTTAGTAACCTGAACTTGCAAAATAGCATTTTGGCCAATGTTTTTGACTGAAAGTAATTCCAATTTAATATTGTAGAAGGGGTTTTGTTTTGTGGAGATCATTTTTCCTTCATTTCTTCTCATGTTGCTGAAATTCCTATGCTTAGAGCTCTTTAAAGGAACTGATAAAACCTTGAATGATATTTTAAAAATTTAGCAAATGCTGTGAGTTTCAGTTAAAGAAAGCACTATGATTAAAGGGTTTAAAACATACTTTTGTACTCGTTTACTATCGTTTAAATATTCTTTTGAGAACATGCATATGGATCCTGCATTTTCATTTGTGGCTGTGGTTTGTTTGAAACTTAGAGATGTATGATGCATTTTGTTGGTGAAGTATTCTGCTCCCAAAGTTGATGTTCTTTGAAACATCAATTTTTTTTTTTTTTGAAACATCTTGTTGTTTGAAATAGATAATATATGTTGCTCTGCTCTCTAATGCAGAAACATTGTGTTGTTTAAGTCATCAGCTGGATACTGATATGCACTGGCAGGAAAAGAAGAAAGAGTAAACAAACCCTCTTGCCTTTTGAGGTGGTCATATTTGAGTTATGTTGGTAGGATAGAGTGAAGAATCTTGTGTTATTAACAATCCTGATCTGCTTTGTGAACTTATAAGGCTTCTTGCCTGTGGGATTTTCGATCCATTTTTCACCAACGCTTTGTTCATTTGATACTAAACTGAGAGATTTTCATGGATTTCTGCCACTGAATTGCCGATTTATCTGCTTTTGTTGTGAAAAAACTCTACAATAATATTAACGTTCGTTTATAGTGAGCTTATTATTTTACTCAGCTACGTAAGAAGATCCTTTTGTTTCATTGTAATCAAAACAATATCACTTCTAGAATTTTGGTATCTGGGATATACCTGAAATTCTTAAATTTCAGTAATTTCATTTAGCAAACATTTTTTTGACTATGATAAGTCAATTCTTCATTTCTTCCCAGGCTGCCAAAGGATGTGTTGGCAACAGAACCACTTAAATATGCTGATCAGCTTCCTGTGGCTCAGATAATACACCAGGTAAGTCTTTCTATTTTGAGGAATTTCTTTGAGAATAAACAACATCTGTAATATTCTAACTGCTTTTCTAGGTCATGCAAAATCAATGAGCTCGTGCTAGAAGTATGTAAAAACAACACACTCTTGTTCAGATGACAACCATTAAATTATAAAAGGCTTATTCAGAACATGGCAATGAAACGATAACTTGCTGTATGACACAGTTGTCACTTCAGAGGTTACTGTTAAAATTGTTGTATGTACTGATGTTAAAGAAAAAAATCCATGAATTTCGTCTAATTTGAGTATTTTCCCAAATCATATTCCTGCTCCCCAAAAAAGCAGACAAACTATAGAATCGCTGTTGTGGAATTATGAAGTGTTGAGAGGGGAAAATAATGTCCCCTTCTGAATGAGGTGCTGGCAGTATTTCTGCTTCCAACTGCAGCAGTGTCATCATACTTCCTGATTTGCACAGGTCTTTGTTTGCTTTTTGTTTTTCACAACAGAGAACAGAGATTGAGATTTTGCCTAGATTGTGCCTACTGAGTCCTTACTTCAAATCAATGCTTTTCCATTGATTCAGACACTCTAATGAGGGAGTTGGGGCTGGAATTGAAAGGCAGGCTACGTTTTTAATTATAGCATATCTAATTTTAGTTAACTTATGGCAAGAAGGAGGAAGAGATCTTTCTTCTGCAGAAGATTCTATAATCCCTTCTTGCTCTTTTCTCAAAGTTCAAGGTCTGACACACAGTCCATCCTGCTGATAGATGAGATGCCCAGCCTTTATTCGTATGTCTTCTGAAGCCTGATGGCTGGCTGTTAGCCACAGTGGACTCTGCGTACTGTGTGGAAAGACTGATGACTAAGTAACATCCATAAAACTTGGGGCATACTGTAAAACCTGAATATTGAAGCTTTGCATCTCTGTTCTTGGTGATGTTTGAAAGAAAGCAAGAAGACCTATTCAGTTGCAGTCATTTGGAATTTTGTCTCAGAATTTTGTTTTTGAACTTTGTAGATGCTAGGCCTGCTTCAGGGACAGGCAATTGTGATTTCCCTAATTTAGGAATTAATAGGTCAGATTACTGCTTTCTTAATAGTATCTCAACAGTGTGGAATCCTTCAAGTAATCAGGTACCCAATGAAAGATAGACCTGAAAGCTGGGGAGCATTATGATAGTCCCCCATAGGAGATAAAAATGGTACAGTCCACCAAGTCTTTTGAGACAACAAAAACTTCCATTCAGGAAACTGGGAGATGATATTGATCAGGATAGTAATAAGCCAAATCAGCAATGTTAAATAAAGCTGTGATGTCATCCTGGGCTGGCTTGAACACATGAGAATAATCAGGAAGAAATGTCCAAATATAATTATTATTGTAGATCTTTTGAAATACCTTTGTCAATTGGTGTTTATGAGCAGTTGTGTTGCATGCTGCAGGCAATGCTGGTTTTACCTGGAAAGAAACACAAGCTCTATTTTAAAACTTTAAAATGTACAGGTCTTTTCTGCAAGATGTAAGCACAAGGGATTTAAAAACTTTTGGCTGAAATCCTCACCTCTGGGAGGAATATCTGATGTGTTCAGAACATGGAAGATTGGAAATCAGGACCAGTTTGTATGTCAGGAACTCCCTGGTGTTGTCAGGGCTTCAAATGACCCAACAGCCCGCAAATGTCACATTTAAAATTCTGCCTTCATGCCTGACTCTCAGCATAAATGAATTAAACAGCAGAGCAAGCAGCCAGTCAATATGTTCTTAACAGTGAGAGTGAGCAATGAAACAGTTTGGGGGTTGTTTGGAATCAGTAAATAGAAACTGCACAGAATATCTCACCTAGAGAAAAATCTCAAATAGGAAACAGAATTAACCTTTTAAGATGGTTGACCGGATGAAATGTCATAGTAATATTTTTACAACCTTGGGTGGGCAATAACCAAGGAAGGGTTCATTTAGCTACTGTGTATTATACTGCAGTAATAGAATATTACACTGTAGAAAGGCAAAAATATGCTTTTATATATTCTTGTTAGCTATAACAAATTTACCAGTAATGTAGGTCCAATCCACACAAAGCAGCAATTCAGTCCTAAAATAACTAGAAATGTCTTTGATGTAAAGAAACATAATAAAATGACCATTGTTATCATGTCAGGAATCAGACATCGTGTCCTGATTTTGTGTTGTTGCTGCCGTTTTTGAGGCTCTTAGCTGTAGTCAGCTAAGGATACTCTTCACCAGTGTGCAAGTGAATTAGCATTTCTAAGTTTGTAATGTATTGCTTCGGAGGGACCTTTGATAATTGGAACATAAGGCAAGGACCATGTTCAGTTTATAAGAACAAATATTTCTGTTTTACTTTGAAAGTAAAAGAGATAGCATGAATAAAAACAGTGAATGCTGTTTGTGGTGTTAATCTTTATCTGAAGTTAATCACTGTTAATTCTGGGCCTTTTTTTCTTGTTAACTTGTCTATATCTTACCACTAGCTAGGAATAGCAGTGAAGATTGCAAATGATTCTGTTGCATAAATCAGGATTTGTATTTGTATTAAGTACATGTTAAAACTTCCCAAAGAGAGACAGTTATCCTAAATCCACATCATGCCAAGGTGCGTTTTATATGTAGCAGCCAACATGGCCACTAATTTTATCCAAATTCCACTGTTAATTTATGCTCTTGAACATTAGTAAGACCCTACACAGTTTCCTTGGGAATTTACACATGACTTCTAACATACTCTTCAGTACTTAATGTCTGGTATTTTAAAAAATACTATACTAGCCAAGAGAAAGTACTTTTGTGATTTCTGATCTGTCAATTCCATAAGGAAAAATTAGATGGATTAAATCCTAAAATATGTAACGAAAGGACAACAATAATCTGATTTGGAGTTTGATCTTAAACTTTATGGTACTAGTAATTATTACTGTAGGCAGCATAAAAACAAAAGAATGAAAACCCCATAAAATTCCCGGTTCCTGTTCTCAGACAAATGTTAATGTCCAATGTAGTTAGACCACAGTCAATTAAAAAGACAGATGTGAAGAAAAGAAATTAAACAGTAGAATGAAAACAAATAGTAACATTTAAGCCATTTTTAGACGTGTACCAAAATTAGACATTTGTAAACAAAATAAATAGTTTTCTCTATTTTGGAAGGAAAATTAAAAAAAGGAAGAACATGTGTATTTAACTGAACTTAAAAAGATATATATATACCAGTTAAGGAATATAGTCAATATATACTTCAAAAATGGGAAAAGTTAAGCTTTCAGAGGAGTACCTACCTTGGGTAGCCTTCTAAAATGAGATTCTTTGTGTACCGTAATGTGTGCAGTGCAACTGCATAGGATGAGTTTAAGTAAGGCCAAAAGCTGGAGAAAACAGAGAGCTATTCATTCTGTGTTTGACTTTAGTGAAAATAGGTCTATTGAAAGAATAAGCAAAACTGCATTTGAGAAGATTGTTTTTATATATCATTAAGGATATTCATTGCTGAGCCTCCAATTCAGCATGGTATTTTAATAAAAGTACTTAACTTCAGTGACAGTGCTCATGCTATGAATGTCACTGTGCAGTAATATATTTTGCCTAACTGAGATTTAGGATATTGAAGAGATTTAAATTGTTACAGGTGTCTTACTGATGGAAGAATGTTTTATTGATGAAAGGCATATTTCAATGGGTAAATGCCAGATTTTTCTGATGTTATAATTGAAAACAAAATGAAACAGCAAATTCAGAATAGAATCAGCTTGCATACATAGTTATTTTAGTCCATGGTAAAATATTAAGCAGATAAATTAATACGCTGTTAAAACAGGATGGTATTTCAGGAAACCAACTTCTTACTCTTGTCAGGGATTAAAAATTGACCTGGCTTACAGTTTCAGATTTAAGTAAAATAAAGGGTTTCTGGATGCTTTCTCATGTGGGGAAATGCATGAGAAAATGTTGTGAAGATTTCCCAATGAAATTTTTTTTAGGTGGTACATGCTTGTTTTGTGACGTTTTTAACCAATGCATTACTGTAGCCTCTCTCTGTAGAAGCTTCAATGGAAAATGCCTTTTGTATCTCAGGAGATAACCATAAGAGCATGCTAACTCTGGTGTGTTGATTGTAGAATCGGAATTGTAGGGATTGGAAGGGACCTCTAGAGTTCGTTGAGTCCAGTGCCCCTGCTGAAGTAGGTAGCACAGGTGGGTGTCCAGGTGGATCTTGAATATCTCCAGAAAAGGAGACTCCACAACCTCTGTGTGCATCCTGTGCTTTTTTATTAAACATCCCAGTTGAGCAAAACATGTGAGCACCCTTTGGAACTGTACCGTTAGTTTTGCTCAGTTTAGACTCAGTGGGCATTAGGAACTTGCCCCGTCAAGTCCAGCTTGGGGATATTGACTGGGGTCCACAATGAGGGAAGTGAGATAAGAAATTCAAGAGAAAAGATGGGAAAGGAATATTCAGAGTTACAGACAGGCTGATGGCCATCAGAGATGAGTGCACTTCTGTACTGAGTCTTCCAAGAAGGTTTAAGTTTCCGTAGTTTCTGGGGTTCTGTAAATATTGACTAAAAAAATCCTTTTTGCTTGGAATTTAGTGTTTATTCATTCTTGGGACTTTATTCTCTTCTAGTAGAGCAATGTAAATTTATTGCATTCATCAGTGTTACTGCTGTGTCATGCTAGTTTAATTGGGAGAGATTTTCTATAGCAACATTTGGCAGAAATTGTTGAAACAATATTAGGAGAATAGAAAGCAACATGTATAAGTTTTTGAAGTGTTTTTGATTGCCTATAACACAGCAATTTTAGCTCTGTATCGAATATATCACAAACATGAATTTAAGTTGTGTCTTTGAGAAATTAACCCTGATTTGAGAAATTACATGTTGTTACATTGTCAGTAAAGCATAACTTTAATGTTCGGGGGTCACACTGGTGCCTTCCCCTACCCCATTGCTGCCCTTTGGCAGTTATGTTCAAGGAGAAGCCTTGCGCTTGGTGTGGT